TATGCATTATGATTTTTCAGGAGAATCAGAGGATGACCATGAAGAGCTCTTGTCAGTTGCAAGTTCGGCTTGCAATTCTAGCTGTATGTGTCTCGCTTCAATTATTTTTCTGTTGTATTGATTATACTGCTTTCTCAAATGGATCATGGGCATAACGTTCTTTCTTCTTTTCCTCTTTTTTACCGTAGTTCTTGCCTGTTCAAGCCCATTCTGGAAGAAAGTTGAGACAATGTTTACTTCAATTGGTACAGACAAAAAGTCATACTTATTGCAAAAGGTGACTACCTTAATAGTTAGTTATGTTATAATATGGCTCCCCTTCTTATTTTGGTTAGTTTTTAAATGGCCAGTGGGACTTAAATTCTTCTTTGTTGTTTTGGACTAGCTAAAATTAGCTGAAGAGTTTGGAAGTTCATCTCAATTCTCTAGCCATGGCAATGATGTTCAGGTGAAATTGGTTTGGGATCTGTGGTCCCTCTTGTTTTCGCTCTAATTCTTTGATTGTTTTGAATATAGTTTCACAGTGAATATTCTACACATAATTCAATATGCAAAAGAATCAAAAACCATCTTTGGCTCTTGCAGCCTCTTGGCTTTAGATTACTATAATTTCAATCTTCTGGGGGGAGCAGGTTGTTCTGCATCTATTATAATCTGTGGATCTGTTTCACCTGAAATTCAAAACCTTCTTGTTTTATCAGGGTGATGTCCATGAAAAAATTTCAGCATTTGATTCTCTTTCTGGTAAGACAAATCGACGGATGACAAATGAAATTGGGACAAAGGACTCTTCTGATACGGTGGAATTTGTTGAGCAATTACAGAATTCTTCTTTGGTTGGGTCCCTGGACACTGAGAAAAGACATGACACAGTTACTCCACTTTATCAAAGGATACTATCTGCTCTTATTGTGGAGGATGAAATTGAAGAATTGGAAGAAAATGGGTTTGGAGGACCAAGTAGTTATCCTGGTGATTTTCGCCTTATTGATACTGAAAGCAGATATCGAGATGGATTGGACTTTTGTGAGCCATTTTTTGGTGTCCAAACTCCAAAAAATGGTAATGCGCACATATTTGTTTCTTGTAATGGAAATACTGACTACAATAGAAGCCCTGGTATTCGGCATCATCCAGGTGATGGAGATTTGATGCAAGGGGATAGTGGATATGTGCATTCAGAGGTGGAAGTGTTGGTTAGACTTTCAAGATATGATTACGGTTCAAAAAGTTCACAGCCAACTAACTTTGGCATTTCTTCCATTGATTGCCAATATGAGCAGATGTGTCTTGAAGATAAACTTGTGCTGGAATTGCGAAGTGTTGGCTTATTTTTAGAAACTGTGGTAAGCTTGGAGATTGAAGTAATGTTTATCATCTTTAATTGAATGTTTTCATCATAAATTTCCATTCCATGTATTCCGGCTTTTCCACTGGACTTAATGAAATAACTTCATCAATAAATTGCATATTTAAACAACAAAAGCAACTTTTTCTAGTTCAATGGTTTCCTTTTTGCTACTTCGGATATGTTTCTTATTCATTTAAGTATTCATTTTTGTGTTTCTCACTGGGATGCCTGCTACAGCCTGCCTTGGATGACAGAGAGGACAAGGTAATCAACCAGGATATTGTTCAGCTGGAGAGGGGACTGCATCAGCAGGTTATCTCACATCACACCATTTTCATAATCTCTTTTTAACAATTTTTAACTGAGATTATTGAATTATTTTTAGGAGTCTATTTATTTTCCTATGATTAGGTGTCTAAAGCCTCTGCCGAAAATTGTTCTGCTATAAAATTTATCCTTTCATAATACTGAGCGACCCTCTTATTTACACTTGAAACTCTAGATTGGAAAGAAAAAGATGTTCTTGGATAATATATGCAAGGCTATTGAAGAAGGCAAGGATGTAGACAAACGGTAAATACTTTAAATTTGGATTTTTTTCATAAGCATTGAACTTGATATTATCACCAGTATCAGATCTTGTTATGACACACATTGTGCTCAATATGCAGGGACCCTGAGCAGCTTGCTATGGATAAACTTGTTGAGTTGGCATACAAGAAACTTTTGGTAAGTATTAATTGCTCATGTCACTCAGTATCAGTTAGGTGTTTAGTTGTACAGATACAGGCATGACTCACTTTCTGTAAACCTTTGTTGGTTTTGTGGAGTTCATGGATTACCAGGCAAGGGTTCATTTGGAAAATGGCCTTGAAACAGAAAGTTACTTCCAATCTCATTGAGCTACAAAGAAATATTATGTAACAATTCATGCAAAACATATTTTCTAGTTTGTTGTAGTTTTCATCTGACATGCCAAATTTTACGATGTTTCTTGATTGAAAAACTTGAATGTCAGGCATTTTAAATACTTGATTGCGTGCTGTACAAAAACCTGTTGGGCAAAAAAAAATGTTTGTTCTTGTGTGAAAACTTGAAGATTAATATACACTATTGTTGTAGGCTACAGATGATAGTTTTATTGACATGACAAAATGGGCTGGCCGCTCCACCACCAAACTGGCCACGCCCAACGCCAGGGTGGAATCACTAGGATGCATTTTTTTTTAAAAGCTTTACACTTGCTTACCATATATTTTGACCTTATTAATTAGACTTCCTGTTAAAATTCTTTTTCTTTAATGTCAGATTTATCTATCTTTAAGGTCCAATAGTAGATTATATCTTTGAATAATTTGACAGGCAACTCGAGGGAGTTTCGCTTCTAAACATAATATTGCTAAGGTGTCAAAACAAGGTGCGTTGGCTTTTGCCAAGAGAACACTTGATAGATGTCGGAATTTTGAAGATTCAGGAGTAAGTTGCTTTGCTGAGCCCACACTCCATGATGCCATTTATGCTGCACCGACTCAGATCACTGAAGGAGAGCCACTGATCAGTGCAGACTTGGTAGTTGCTAATGGTGAGCATGCATGACTTTGTTTTATTTTCAACAATGCTAAAGCAGTTATAATTTGCTAGCTGCTTGCTCCCAAGTCTTTTGTCGGTCTCTATGCTCTTCAGGTTTTAATTGAAACGTGTAAAAAATAACGCTGTCTCATTTTGATTTTCATTGACTTGGTTTTACAACCTTTTGCATATTATAACTACAACAGTTCATTTCTTGACAGGATCTGTGTCCGGTTTTGCTGATGGTTTTTTATCAGATGCACTTGAGACTTCAGGTCATCTCTCTGATCAGGCTTTTGCAAAAAGTGGGCCGATATCGAATAGAGGAAAAAAGAAGGAAGTATTGCTTGATGATGTTGGTGGTGCTGTTTTTAGAGCCACATCTAATCTTGGCATATTGGGCAATGCAAAGGGAAAGAGAAGTGAAAGAGACCCTTCAACAAGAAATGCTGTTTCAAGGGCATCAATGGGTGGCTCCAAGGGAGAGCGCAAAACAAAAGCGAAGCTGAAGCAAAAAATAGCTCAGCTTTCTACATCAGGAAATGGAGTTGTCAATAAATTCATGGATGATATACATCCCGTATACACTTCGGCCAGTGGTTCTGGTGAATCAGCCAATAATACTAGCAACAGGAAAAGGGACGTTAGATTTATGTCTTCAGGTAATGCCCGTCAAGATTCATCGAAGGACATCAACGAATTAGCTACTTTGCCGCTGAACGATATAGACTCGATGGAGGAACTAGGGGTAGATACTGACATTGGTGCACCTCAGGATTTCAATACTTGGTTCAATTTTGATGTGGATGGATTACAAGACCACGATTCTGTTGGCCTTGAGATACCCATGGACGACCTTTCTGAATTAAATATGTTTTGATCTCGATAGTTCTTGTTGTTTGTACAGCTTGTGGAATATTTAACTATCTACAGAAGAATGAATTCATTCTACTACCTTAAGCTTGTCTTGGCCAAATGGAAGTTGTAATTATCCTATTCTTTTTGTATACTTGGTTAGAAATCCTCCTTGTTTAAACTTTGTTCCCTTGTAATAAGTACATTTTGTTTAAATAATCTACTTAGCTGTTTCTAGATAACTGCATACATAACATGAGGAAACGTAAATTGGCAATTTTGTTTCTTTTAAATTCTATATTTAATTAGAGATTATACTGTCATCGTGTAAAGTTATGAGAAGTGATTATGTGAAAAATAATTTTTTGAAGAATGCATTATTAAAAAGTTGGAAAAAGTTACGAGGAAATGTGATTTTTATTTTTATTTTTTACCCTCGAGAGTGCAATTGAAAATAAGTGTGAAAAAGTGATTTTGAAAAAATTAATTTTTAAATAAGACAAATTTTTGCACTTGTTTTCCTTGATAGCATTTAAAGAATTTTACTTGTTCTTAACATTCAATTATCAATTGATGGTTACACGAATGAGATACGTGTTTGTTGTCCCATATGGTCCTTGATTATTTTAAAATAACACGTTTCGATCGAATACTGATATTTGAAGAAAAAATAAGACAAAGTTAATTGATTTACTTAACGAGGAACTTTTCTTCTCCCTTTACTGTAGCATGCGGCAAGAAAGGGAAAAATATTCAGGCTTAGGTATCGAGTCCAGATTAGGAGTGTGTAAGTATTTTGTTTTCTTAATTTAATGGTCATCATATATAATGGAAAAGAAAATGAATTCAGAAATCCACAAAATCCAAGTTGACAAAACATCTTGTCCAACTGTACAAAATTCTTTAATAGCTATGAGAAAATTTTCAATAGGACAGTCGCACCGCCACGTGTGACGTGGTGTGACGACCCCATTGGGCCATCTTGGCGGATGGCCCAAGCAATTGCACTACATGGACAGTGCAGTGCAACCGTCCTATTGAAGATTTTCTCACTATCTGGACATGCACCTCCCTAGATTGACTAATTCTTCCATTTCATGCTTTGTGGGGGGTTTTATCAAAAAAAATAATAATAATAATAAAATAAAAATCCCAGTACGACAATTTTTATGGATAAAGTAAACAACCAATCATTACACTATAAAATTTAAAAAAAAAATGTTAAAAAAATAATCTGATTGCTTGATCATTTGAAGCTTAAGATAATATCCATGTTAAAATAACAATCTGATTTAACAAGAATAATGCAATTTACATCATGGACTATAGTTTATTACTCTAAGATACTATCCATGTTTCACAATGATATACACTAAATCCAGAACAGAACTCGTTTTTCTTGGTTGCCCAATATGGGCAGGAATTACAATGTAAATGCAGTCAAGTCATAGTAAAGTCGACATATCTATCTCATACTCCTCCACCACCACCACCACGCTTAGTAGCTTCTGAGTTGCTCGTTGTCATGAAAGATTCTCCACAGCCACACTGCCCCTTAGAATTGGGGTTTATGAATATGAACTCAGATCTGCTCAAAGACAATTGGGATGCTAAAGTTCAGTGGTCTGATATTTTAACTAAAATACCAGAAAGTTTCAACATTACACCATATGATTTTTCATCAATGGCGATGCGTGGACTAAAAATAATTTCCATCTGTGGCAATACAAACTTAAGGGCACATTTGTTAGACGGGACAAGGATTAAAATAATTTTATCTAATCATTATCCAGTGTTTGGTGCAATTAGTACCGGGATTAAATTAATCCAGTGTGCTTATCCCGCTTTATTCAAGTGTATACAATTATTTATTCACCAATTTATGAATTATGAAAAGAATTAGTTAAATTAAATTACAAAAATTTACTTACAAGAGCTAAGAATTTCACTTATAAGTAAAATAATAATAATAATAATAATCAAGAAGAAAAAATTGCCTAGAAGTAAAAGATACCACTTATAACTAAAAAAGAATCGATTATAAGCAAAAAAAAAATCAATTAAAGTTAAAAAATTATGAGAAAATATTGTTATATTTTTTTCATTTACCAGTACTTGTACGATCTTCTAATACATGTAGCACCGAACGCCATATTAGAATAATCCTCCCAAATCCACCTTACTACAATCCCTCCTAATCCTATTTTTCCTAAATCTATCATACGGTGTACCAAACATGCACAAAGTGATTTCGATTGTTCAGAAAATGTGACATAGAAGTATATATCTGAGCAGCTAGACCAAAGCTGTATGTGGAATAAGAAAGGAGGGGAAGGTCGAGAAAGGAAAATCAAGAGGAAAATGGCAGAAAGATTGTCCGTGCATACGGAAAGGTAGTTGAAAGCAAATGTAACAAATTGAGCAACTCTGGATTTCCCCTTTTTCCACCTCGACAATATTTGTGATAGAGGGGAAATTCCTCACTTCATTTTTTTTGCTCTTCTCAACTAGAAATCAAACAGGTTGGTAGAAAATCAAGCACTCCATTCTTTCTATCTATTTTTATTTTTATAGGCATTCTTTATATCTATTTATTCGAATAGATTTCAACGCCCAAGGGAAAACTTTATGAAAGCAGAGTATGTTTCACCTCACATGTATGTATGTGTGCATACACATAAAAATATCAAGATAGAACTAGATATTGCTTTAAAAGATTCGTCTATAATTAGAAGTGGAGAAATATCTCATACCTGAGTTTGTCATCAACAAAATCCATCTTTGTTCCTATTACATGCATGAGAGCCTTTGGATCAATCAATATCTTAACACCTCTGTCCTCAACGAACTCATCAAACTTCCCTTTCTCATCTACAATATTTAGAAATTACTTAAGCGATCAGCAACAAAACCAATTTAACAGTGCAGAAACATGATAAAAAAGGTATCGCAAAGTCTCTAGTTCAATGAAAATTAGGAATAGAGAAACATTCAGTCTTTGAATAGTGTTAAAGAAAAAATTAACTGCCCTATTAAAATAGATATGATCTAGAAATAACACCCGTAACAATGTGAGAACAAATGTTTAGGCATTGGTGATAGTGCTAGAACAGTAAATATTAACCATGTGCTACTTGGGGTCGATATGGTTTCCACTTTAACTTTGGGGAGAGAGGAAGCGTAGTACACTCTCAAATTCGAGAGCTCTGATCGAAGCAAGGCCAAGAGTACTGTACTTCATAAAAATTGAAAGAGTACAATGTCTAGAAATGACAATATACATTCTGTTTACTTGATTACTAGTACTAGAGAGATCACAATAGTTATGAATGTAATGTATATACTTAAATATGATTCAAAGAACAATAACTCAACATTACTTTGAGATGGACATAGGAATTGAATGGTGATTAAACCCATGACTATGACTATTCTAACAAGCGATGAAATGAACATTTCATGGATCACATGGATGAATCGAAAATTGAGTACGCGGTACTCTTGGTTCAACTTGACTATTAAACTTTATGTTTGGTTATGTTCAGTCATCAACCAAAACATTGTTGCGAAAATGTCATTCAAATTAGTTATTGTTAGTTTATAGACAATACTAAATAACCTGCAGATTTCTTCTTTAACATCTAGTAATAGATTAACTACTTGATGAAACCATCAATCATTGACAATTGAACTAATTCACGAATGGTTCCAACACATAAACTAGGTATAGTACACATGTCACTTAGAGATAAGATATATCTATCATCTTCCAAATAAGGTGCATTGTGCTGTCCTACCAATCCAACTGTTGCTGACCCTCAGCATTTATATTAAAATCAAATAAAATCAAGTTTTAACAGTCAATTGAACTTCGACCAAAAAAAAATAAAAAATGATGCACCTATTATATATTATAGAAAGATTATTAAAATTACCACCACAAAATTATCTTGATCTCTAACTTTATGACTCATTAGCAATAAGAGGCTTATTGAGAACCACTAGTACTGAAAAGGAGCAATAGAACAGATAAGCAGCGGAAGTCATATAAAAAACCAAGTTTTTACTGAAGCGCTGGCTACAAGTTTGAATAAAATTCTCTTTTTGCACAAATTGAAATATGTAAACGCACAATACCAATGCTGAATGCACCAAACACGGTTGCAACGACCAACAAAAAGAAACATGAAAAATCCGAAGATAATATATATATATATTAACTTGAATTTCGAGGTGCTTAATACAATCCAAATTTTCTTTTATATTGAGAATTATCGAATAAAATCCTCCAATTAAGCTAACAATATTTAAAAGGAATTAAACCTAATAATAAATAAATGATCATAAAATCAGCCAACTATCCATACCCTAAGCTTAAGTATTTCCTAATCTATTTTTAATTCCGCTCGGTTTGTTCCAACATCTTTCACAATTCCAATGTTTCATAAACATTCATAGACATATCACACAAAACATGTATCCATTCGGTATAAACGCGAAAATCACCGGCGTAATTGAGAGTGTAGGATAAGCCGTTGCAGCCTCGGGCCTTGACTCCAAGCTTGAGGAAAGGGCGCTGGCGCTGTTCTAGGAGATGGCGTATCCTAGTGGCTGCGGCGTCCGTTAAGGATAGCACCTGCTTTCTCATGGCGGTGCCGATCTTCTCCGAACCGGCTTTCAGAACAGAGGCTGCCATTTGAATAATTTCCTCTTTTGGAAATGCTGTAAGGGCAAACAGATCTTTACGTGATTCGACCCGGAAATAAAACAAAAATGACCCGGTTTGTAAGGGGTAATTGGAATTTTTACAGTAATTATTTGGACTTGTGTCTCAATTTCACTAAAATGGCAAAATAACGAAATTGGCATTTTCCTATATTTGAATTCTCTAGAAGACAATTTTTTTTATATGTCTGGCTAAGCTAAGATAGTTACGTGTAAGTAATCATGTAAATTTCAAATTAGTTAGTTTTATTAGTTGGACATGAAAAAAGTAAGAGCTTGTTCGGCAAGGATTTTGAAAATTGATTTTTTGACTTTAGAGATAAAATGGGTTCTACACGAGAGAGAATGATTCAAAAATGACGATTGAAATAGTAAAATAACAGTCAAAATTTGATTTTAATTAGCTTAAAATTTAAATCAAACAAGCACTAACTCTATAGATATTTGAGAGTTAATTGTTCCAATGGTCACTCAAGTTTGAAATGTCGAGTTTTGGTCATTGAAATTAGGTCAATGTCTTCGATTGCTCACTGACGTTTAAAATGTCAAGTTTTGACCACTGAACTTTGGATATACTGTACGTTACTAACTAGAATAACTATTGAATTTTAAAAAATATCGAGTTTACAGTGAGTAATATACATTATCTTTCAAAGTTCAGTGAGTAATATACAATATTTTTCAAAGTTCAGTGAGTAATGTAAAGCATTTTTCAGATTTCGGTAGTCAAAACTCAATATTTTAAATTTCAATAAGTAATCGGAGACATGGACTTAAATTCAGTGATCAAAACTCAATATTTTAAACTTTAGTGACCAATCAAAGATATTGACCTAAGTTCAGTGACAATTGGAACAATTAACTCGATATTTGATCAAAATAAATCAAATAAACCCATGTTTGGTTTTGATGAGATTCAAAATTTTAGTCGATTTTAATAAAAATGATAAACGTGTGATAAAAGTTTTGATAAAAATTATTGATTGCATAAAGTTGATTTGATTAGAATTGAGTTAAATTTTGATTGTTGATATGTTTATACGATGATATTAAGAGTTTTACGTATGGCCTTTTTAATCTACAAAACAAAATCAATATTAGTTCGAAAACCCCTATAATCAACATTTACATATATTTTAGTTGAGATGTCAATAATTAAGATAAATAATAAATAAGATTACATACCAATTAGACAAGTAGAATATAATTAAAAATAAAAGATATTGTAGGGGTTGAAGGGACCTAAAGTTTCTATTTTCAATTCGTAAAACATTTATAACATATTCTCTATTAAAGAATATCTTATACATAATAAAAAGTATCTTTCAATTTATAAAGTATATTTTTTAGGCACTTCAATAATACTATCTATTTTGACTCTTTGTTTTATTTTTTTATAAATATTTATAGATTTCTCCTCATCTCTTATTTAGCATGATTTTAAAAAATAATAATAATAAATAAAAATAACAGAGGGTGAATTGGCTTCTTCTAATTAGAAGACTCCAATTTAGTCTTTGTTTTAAAAAAGTTAAAATAAAGAGCCTATTTGATCTTATTTTTAAGCATCGATTGTCTCGTATTAAATTTTTTTTTTTTGGATATGCTTTTAGAAAGGTAATTGGCACAAAACATCTCCATCTTTCAAGTTTATTGTAAAAAAAGTTCCTACCTTTCATTTTTTAACATTTTTACTCCTAATTTTCACATTTCTTTGCGCTGGACATCCTTTTCACCATTTTTTAACATAAAATGACCAATATATCTTGTTATTTAAATAAAACAACAGAAAAGAAAAGAAAAATAAAAAATAAATTTCAACTTTAGGCCCAAACTTTTTAAAAAGTGCAAATAACCCACTAAAATAACTTCACCTTCTTCCCACACCTCACGCCCACCATTTCTAGCCACATTCCGACCACCAAAACCACTGGATATTGACATCAACGGAAAGCCCTTAACCTTCTCCATAATTACCACCGAACAACTCCTCGTAATTGGAGCAAAGCCATTAGAAGAAGAAGCAATTGGAGCTGAAAAATTCCCATCACGCAATCGGACCTGATTAGATTTGAATCTAGCATTTGGGTTGTAAATTGGCTTGATTGTTTGTTGACCCATGGATTTTCCATCATCGTCGAATTAAACATTTGGAGTACCATAGATCCATCAAATTCCTTGGTCCCAAAATTTTCGCATAAGGTCCTAAGTTCGTCCACGAATTCAACTTGTTCTGGATGAAAATGGCTCTGACCCATGGTTGGGCAAGGTGAATCAGAGGGAGACGAGGTTAACCTATGTAGTCCGAGACCAAGTGTTGACCAGACGAAGTTAGAATATGCAATATTCAGCTAGTGAAGCAGGTTCGCGATCGACAATACTTCTAGAATAAATTCAGATTGCTGAAGTGACGTTTGGGTAAATTGAGGCCATGGTTATAATCGACAAGGTGTGGGCAATCATCCGGTGGGGGTTCCACGGTTTAAGTGGTGGCCAAATGAGGAGATTCTAGCAGTTTTCAGATTTTCTAGTGGCTAACTTTAAGAGTTGATTCCAACAAGATTAGTTGGTCTTATGGGGAGTTTGTTGGGTGGTAATTGTGGAGGAGGTTAAGGACTTTTCGTCGATGTCAATATTCAGTGATTTTCGCGGCCGAAAGGTGGCTGAAAATGGCTGGTAGGCGGCGGCGGGGTGGGGGTGAGGTGCGAGAAGAAGATGAAGTTATTTTGGTTGGTTATTTGCAATTTTTAAAAAATTTGGGCCTATAGTTGCAATTTATTTTTTATTTTTATTTTCTTTCTTTTTTGTTTTATTTAAATAGGAGGATATATTGATCATTTTATGTTAAAAATGATAAAAAGAACATTCAGCGCAAACAAAGGTAAAAGTTAGGAACGAAAATACTAGAAAATGAAAAGTAAGAACGTTTTCTATAATACACTTAGAAGGCGGGAATATTTTGTGTCAATTATCTCTTTTAGAAAGATAGAAATGCAAGAAAGTAAAATCCGATTAAAAGGCAGAATAATCTGGAACATCCACGCACCAAATGTGGACCAGTCTGTCTGCTTGTCTAGTTAACAACTGGTGCAATTGACCAGAATTATCAACGCTACGCGACACATATTTTAATCAATGTACACCTTTCACAAAAAAACAACAAATACAATACTTCATCATTACATTTATATAAAATTGATTTTATTTTCACACGAATTAAAAATTTTTATTTAATGTTATTAAAAGACTTTTGTCAAAAACTTTACCAGTCTACCCTTATTTATATTTGTACAATTTTAAAATTAAGTAAGAAGAAGTGATTATAACTAAAAAAAATTAAATAAGACTATATTAGTAAATGAACAAGACAAAAACATTATTAGTAAAGAAATAAAACTATATAATTGGGATAAGAAAATAAAAAAATTAATCTATATAAATTGGACTGAGTGAGTATAACTTTTTAATGTATTTTCTTACAATTATCAAACTCATTACAACTGGCCCAAATAATCATGTCAAATCGGGCTAATCTGATGGAAACGGTTCGAAACTTGTAGAAAATCTGGTTATATATATATATATATATATATATAAATTAATGAAATTTTTGATCAAATATTTGTTGGACTTAGCTCCCATTTGATGGTACTTTTTCATCAAAAAAAATTGATTTTTTATCGTTGTTTTACTATTATAGCCGTCACTTTTTATTTCTTCACTCATAAGTAGTCCCTACTTTTTTCCATAACGATCAAAAAATCAATTCTCATAATCACTGGTCACTATCGAACGAGCACTTAATATTATTTTCATAAATACCTTTTTTCGGACATAGAATTTCCGAGTATGGTATCGTCGAGCGACCTTTTTGGGTGAGTATACACATAGATCAATCATATCAGATGCTGAGACGAATAGAGAAGGCAACCAGCCCTAAGGCCATCCCTCCATTTATTTTTTATATTAAAAAATTATGAAAAA